TCATTTTATTAGTAATCGATTCACTAAAAAGCCCATAAATCAGTTTAAAACTGATGTCACTCACTCATTTTGACAAACGACAGCTACCAACGCTGAAAAATATAATGGCGGAAAAATTGTAAAATGAAATCCACACTAAACTGGTTTCAACTAGATTTTACGAAGATGCATCGATAAATCTCGACAGTTACTGACATTACTGTTGTCTGAAAACAGAAGTTTATATGTTTTATTAGATATTTCGGAATTTTACAACCTGGTACTGGTAAATGTTAGGGTTTCAAGAAACTAATTACTGAATATTCTAACATTTACTATAGCTTAAACTTATTGGTAATATTTACCGATCTTCTAAATTAACACAAACAAAATAGTGTTAAAAAGATACAGAAAACGTCATCATCAGAACTTTCGTAAAAAATAAAACTGCAGTCCGAAAACTTGATATTAAAGTTTAATACTTCAGAATTTCACCATTTTTTTCATGAAAATAAACCTATTTTTACGAATTGATCAAATAAATCTTTATTGTTATGTAAAATTAAAATGAAACACATGAAAACTTTGATTTTACGAGTCATAGAAAGGGAATTTTGTTAGTTACAAAATTTCCTCTCTTAACGTTTCTATAAATGTAAACTTGATACCATACGAGTACTTCATTAATGTTTCCCTGGCGTAAAAGGGATCTTTCAAGTATTTGCATTCGAAAATTTGACAAGTTTAACTGCACTAATTCAGAAGTCAACCAACAAAAATCAGGGTTATATTTTCAAAATTTCTACAGGACTAGTTTCGATGGTTTTACCGAACCACCATCCTCAGCTGCAAAACCCCAAATGATTTTTGTTAATTGACTTCTGAATTAGTATTTATTCGGCGTGTTATTGTGTCTTAAGTTTTATCAACATTTGTATAAACCAAAATTTTAATTAATGTTACCTGAAAAATACTTTAATCCTTTGTACTCGGTTGTTCCCTTTGAAGAGACACCATAAATCTAGCACACCAATCGGATGCCCTATCTCAGGGGAAATTAAAATTTACTAATTTACTAAATTTAGTACCCCGTAGGAACTTATGGCAGCGCAACTTCTTAAAAATGCACGTTTTCATAAAGTTTTCTGTTGATATGGCAGAAAAAAAAATCAAATAAAGAGTTGTTTATCTACCGATATCCAGGGGGGGAATTATCAACTAGTACTACATCGAAAAAGAACACTTAGAGTTCATTCATGGCGCAGTCTAAACTACATCCTATAAAATGGTTAAGTATCGTTTGTATTTGTAAAGTATATTTGTCTATACTTTCCATACAGTAGCAAAGATACATAAGAAATTCCAAGAATGTAGCTTAAAAGAAACAGAATTTCAAAATTGAATGCAGTTCTTGTTGAAATACAAATCAGTACAAGTCCGTAACCTATCCTTTTTTTTTTTTTTTTTTTTGATATATTTTATTCCATAATTTCATAATTCGTAATGTTTCTTATCTATCTCTTTCTTTTGAGTCATTTGGCTATGGTACTACGCTTATGACGGACACAGTTTTCAGATTTCACAGTCTACAGAAATCAGTAAGAGAAAAATGCTTTTTCTCACTTACATTTTTCCATTGAATTCAACTTTATTTCTTGTTTATATTAAAATAAATTGCATGATCGATTTTTTTTTTTTTTTTTTTTTTTTTTTTTTTTCAAGCTCAAAGGCAACGTTATTTGATTCATTTTCTAAGGTGAAACCTTGGATTGAAGGCTAGTCATTCAAGAGACATTTGAAAATGCAATTTCCTGAAACCGTCTATATTCTTTCTTTCTTTTTCTTTAACAATGCATTTGTATTCTAAGCGAATATCTTGTTAGAATTATTTGGATTATTATATTACTTCTAACGAGAATATGCCCCTTCCGATGAGAATCTTAGCTTCTCCCTCAATCTCATCGTAGTCCTAAAATAGTGCATGACTCCTCTCTCCCTAACTCCCTAATCCTCTCACACGTGTCAAGGGCACAGTTCCTTTTGGCGATTTAATAAACACAAAGAATCAGTAAGGGTCTGAATAGGTTGGTTGGTTTGTTATTTGAATATGACAAAGCACAAAAAGGTTTCCTGCCTATGTGGAAAACTTTCTAACGGAAAATCCAAGAAAGCCGTTCATGCAGCCAGCCCGTTGGTCTGAGACAGAACCCTGGTCAAACTACTAGCATTCAGAGATCTTGACCACTCGACCACTACTGGAGCCGGATTTGAATAGGAATCGAGTAACTGCTTTATAAACGCAGGCGCCCACTTACCAGTAACTGAACCTATGCCAGAGTTACACTACAAAGCAGGCTTGCACCTTGTCTCTCAGCAATAAGCGCTTCAAAATCATTACTGTATAAAAATGTATATTATTTATACTACTTTGTCCGAAAAATTTTATGATTTGTGTCGTTTTCGAAAGGGTTTGTTTGTTCTTTGGATTTCGAGAAACTGAACCACCTTATATCTTCGAAAGACACTTTCTGCAAATGTCAAAGCAATAGACGTCATCCAACGGTAGTGGCAAGAACTATGTTTTCAGTGCAAGTATGCATATACAACAATTGTGCGTGAGTATATTACATAAAAATTGGAAAAAAAATGCTTTATGAAAAATTTCATTAGATGAAAAAATTGTCTTCAAAAAACATCAGCCTTTTCAAAACAAGATGGAAAATATTTTTATCACATATATCTTTATTTGAATCCTCTGTTTAATAAATCGAAGCCCTAAATTCTAGCCACAGAAATGTCTCACATCTACATGCGTTAAGTTTATGAAATATTTATCGGGTTCTATGAAACTCACTCTCTGACAAATATTACGTAAGACATTCTTCAGTCTCACTCATCATTTGTACATATCATCACATCGATTATCAATTACAACACCCACTGAATCTTATCCATCAGTTTTTTTTTTCTCCAGCTTCTTCCTTGGGAAGAAAAAAGTTTATAATTAAAAAAAAGAAAGAGAGAGAGAGGATGCTTCTTGAATAAGCTGGAGACATATGCAGTGCCATCTTGTGGACAAATATGTTATTATATTCGCAGAAGGCAAAATTATTTCAGAAATCAAATTAAAAAATTTAATTCTTTTTACGTTAAAATATTCTCAGATAGCATTTCTATGCATTGAAATTATTATTTATAATATAACTTATCATAATATCCACTAATTATGTATTAAAAATGAAAGGGAAATTGCTTACCTATAAGAAGACAAGCGTTATAAAATAGTATATTGTTTACATAATACAGTATACACATATTTCAATCTCAATATACAGAACAAATTTAATTTTTTAAATTTAGCAAAACTCAACTTTAGATGACGTACTCCACTTACATAACATTTAAAAGGATTAATCAAAATTCGTTTTCGGTGTTACAAAATATGAAATCGATAATAAAACAAATTTCAAATTCCAAATTACGGCTTCCAGATGACCATATTCGGTGGAAGATTACGTTATCCAAAATTTGATGGCTCTAGGTACCGCTGTTTTATCACAATGCGAGAAACATACATAGAGTTATGCAGATTCTTCATTATTTAATTTCTTTAAATATAACACAAGGCGATAATATTTGGTGGCAACAATTTGAAAAGTTAACCGACATTTATAGTGAATTAACCCAAAATGCCAAAACGAAATTAATAGCCCTCCTGGGCTAACGCAATCAGGTCCCCTGTGGAAGGGGCGGTGCCAAAACCAACAAGCTCTATAATGAACATAACTTCTTGCATTGTAAATAATCTGTAACAATATGTTAATGCTATTTCCTATGTGTCGAAGTATGTTGCAACAGTATATTGTGCTATGTCTTATATGTTGTTAGTACTATGGCCTATGTTTACCGTAATCAGGTCCCCTGGGGAAGAGGCGGTACGCTAAAGAAGGGGGCTATACCATTTTTGTCATTTTTGTCATGGAGGCTATACCATTTTTGTCAATGGCGATGGTGTAGTGCCCCCTGTACTTGTTCCTGTCCTGGGCTAACGCACTTTGGGCTAAATAAAAATCAAGTCACTTCATCGAAATGTTGAAAAGGATTTTCTCAAATGAATTTACAATACCCAAGATTCCAAAAACAAATGTGAGCTATTATATATGCCGCCCGCCACTTAAAACAAGAATATAAATTAGTGTAAAGGTTATCCATCTATAGAGTTGATTTACTAATACAGGATCGAATGATACTAGTTGTGATGTCTGATATTAGACATCTGATAAACAACTATTAACGTTATTTTAAAACAATGCTTTTAATTTTAAAATGGGGAGTCTTCAATATTTTAGTAGAGTATATAAATAAAATAGAAATAATTTGAATGAGATTTAATTGAAAGTGGTTCAGTATTACCAATTTTAAGATCAAGTACAGAATATCAAATTTAATAAGTCTAATTTTGGAATAGGATTAGTCATAATGAAAAAAATACTATTGTAGAATACCTTAGTTATACATATGGATTAAAATCTGAATTTGTGACGAAACTCTTCGGTGTAAATGAAATAAAAATTTAGTAATATCAACAAGTCTGTTGATTTAGAAGAAATTATATTTTTAAACCTTTGTTCAATAGTTTGTGGAGACTATTTTTCTACCAAAATTATGCTTTCCATTTAAAAATTCACGTGCATCGTGCACAGCCATTTATATTAAATAAAAGTGTAATAAATTCTTCAATACAAATCTTTTAAATATTTAAAGTTTTTAATTTTTTAAACAATGTATAAAAAATTAAAACTTCCCGAAACGTGACATAGATCGTGAAATTAATAAAAATTACGATAATAACTTAATTATTAAATAATTTAAAAAATGAGGTTTGGTTATTGTTAAAAAAAGAAATTTACACCATTTTCTTCACTGCATTTGAAGAGATAGTATATTCTGCCTTTTTATATCAAATGGATGGCAACTTCTTTTTAATAAACTGTAAAAAATAACCTCTGTTTTGTTGCTGAAATGCTTCATTATATAACTTTTGAAAATGAAAAATTTAACACTTAACAGATACAAGAGCTATAAGTAAGATTAAATCTTTTATTAATTCTATATTCATTAATTTTGTTTTTAAATGTAACTAAATACTAGTACGAAAATAGTTTTTATTTTGAAAGTAATTTTGTCTAAAATTATACATTCCCTTTTCTCTTTTGTGTGTAAATATTAATTTATGCACTATACTTCAATATATAAATTGAGGTTGCACGATAAATCTATGATATTCCTTCAGCCTATTGAAAAACAGTAGTTTTAGCTTCAATAAATACTACTAATAACTATTAGAAATTGATTTCGTTTATATCTTTATAAAAGAGCCTGCAATTAAAACTAATAACTCATTAGTGGGAAACTTTTATTAATTTCAGCACGTTTCATGAGTCTTAACACTCGTTTAACTCGTTGTTTTCAAAATAAGATTGTTCAAGATTCTCTCACTTGTCCAACAAAGCATTTTTCAAGTTATTTTTTGTTTGAAGTGCTATATTTCATACCAAAATATGTTAGAAACTCTAGATTTTTCAATAACATCTAAATCTTCCCCTTTCTTAATTTAAGCAAATTCATGAAACAATTTCCCAAATTTATCACAGAATAATCAACTTTTCTTCAGACTGCTCAGTAAAGACTGAGTCTTATCTAATCTGATGGTGTAAAGATTAAACAAATTTTATTACAAGAAAACAAACTACTTCACAGTGATAAAAGATTTAGTGTAATACTTAAAATATAAGAGCTTGTTTAGTGAACAATACAAAAAATAAAAAGAAATGCACGAATATCAATTTTAGATTGTTTTCATATACTTACGAAGGTTTGTTTTCACTCAAACTTCGTGAATTTTTTTTTTTTTTTTTTTTTGTTCGGGAGGGGATTGGGCTCTCGAACTATTCATAAGCAGTATAAGGATAAAAAAAAAATATATTTTATGTTAGATATCTGAATTACATCTTTGGATGCACGTGGTTCCACAGGTAGTTATTCTACCTTGACTCAATATATATAACGAGTATAACTTGTATATATAACGAGTACACTTTTTCCCATAAATTTTTAGTTTTCTGTGTCTAAACTAACTTTAATAGGGTTACGACCTAGTCTATTAAACTTGAAGGGATGTCTTCATTAATAATAATCCTGTCTAAATTAGTATCATGTAGCTTCAGTATACATCGTTTTATTTAATATTAGAATGAGTTATAGAATCAGGGTTGAAGAGTCCTTTCAGAGGTTTAAGTAAGCCAGGTAAAATCTAGTGTGCCTACCGATAAGAATCTATCATTTTCAAATTTATCAAAAATCATTTTCCCACCTAAACATTCAACAAACAATACACCTGTCAATGTATTTCATTTTTTGTCACAAAATTTACATGTTATCGTTGCACTCTTTTTTCGTGACGATTTAGGTGCAGTGGCTCAGTGCGTTTAAATACTTATAATTCATTCTTATTTCAATGTAGTATATTGCTATATAGGTGAGTTTCATGGCTAATGCAATTGTTTCAGGTTAAGTTAAAGGTATCGAAACTTAGGTCACACAAGAGAAGTACGCTAATGCAAAATTAAAATTTTTTTTTTTAAATTAACGTTTATCTAAAGCTGAATTTTGCCTGATTTCAAGTTATAGGCACATCAACGCAATTATTAATCATCGACGTTTACAAGCGTTATACACATAAATATGACATATGAATAGCCCAGGCAGAATAAAATTATATCTGAGCTAACGTTTATTGTGAATTTCTTATTTTTTTTTAAATTTTATTTTCCTTTAGGAAGAAAAAAAGTGAAATGTGATATGAAGACATGCTTGAGGAATGCTTCTTTATTATCCTTTGCCAGTGACAAGAAAATATGTGGTAAGATATCCGAAATTTCTGTCCACTGTGCACATGCGCCAAAGTGATTCGAAGTTTAGCTGACCATCATAATCTTGACCACAGACTTCCAGAATTTTCTGAAAACTTTTCTGATCGATGTTATGCTGTGGCAATCGGGTAAGAAACACATTTAAAGACTGCTTACAAAATTTTTTATATGGAGATTGAAAAAATAATAACGATAATTTCTGATTAGACTTGGGAATAAAATTTATCTGCATTGCCTAGTTACGGATATATCCAAACTGGATTTTTTCTTGGTGAATAACTTAGAACGCGGAAAAAATCTCTACCAAGATGTAATTCGTCGCATTTAAGTTTCAATAGCCCATTCCGTGATTTTCTATTTTATTTTTTTAGTTTATTATCGACTAAATAATTAGACTTTAACCTAGTTCGTTTCAGCGTCATCTGTCAAATTTCTTGATAATTCAGTTTTAATGATTTGAGGATGTAACACACTTACGTATTGGTCTCATTGACAGTGTTACATACGGAAAAATTACACTTTTTTTTTTTTTTTTTATTCTACTTACTTTTCAACTTTGTTTACGTTGTAAACAATCTTTAATTAATTGGGAAAATCAGGCTGTCTGTTCTATAGTGTTCCGGTATTTTTTGAAAACCACTTGTGTGACAGAAATGCAATCACATCTCTTCAGATATAGAAGGAGTCTATTAGCGATCATTGTTTAATTAATTTGAACAAAATACTGGCGAGAGAGATCAGTTCATAACCAACAATGCACTAAGATTTTTACCACTTACGAGTATTGGAATAACTAGCTTTTCGCCATTCGCACGGCAGATTATTTGTCCAAGTAAGGTAAAAAAAAATTATTGAACACCTCCACTGATTCTTCATCAAGGTTCATCACAAAATCAGCTAAGATTTTATCACAATCATGATTCTTACTCGTTGGTGAAGACTCTTCGGATGTATAAAAAAACGCACAATATTTTTTCCCTCACACGCACAATACACTTCATTCGAGTTTACAAGTAGCAGACTGCAAATTGCTAAAAGCTGTCAACTAATTAGACTGATTATCGTACTATATGGAAGTTTTGTTGAATCAGCATCTGATCCTGGTTTTCTGTTGTTAAAAGGAACACTCTTACTAAAAATCACAAATAAACGAACTTACATTAATTTTTTTGCCCTGAAAAGGTTCATAGAGGGAGTACTTTAGCGGAAGTGGAAACTTTTCCGCTAAAGAACTACGATCGATCATCCACAAACAACTGCAGTCCAGAAAATAAATCCTTTGTGAAAAAGTAAATAAAACTGGCGCCGCAAAAAATACCACGGTTGTCCTTCCTCCGAGGTTGGTAAACAGCTGAGGTATGTTATATGTCGCACACGTGTATGTTCTTTTAATCTACTTATATGAGTTTTTGAGAGGGTTAAAATCCTAAAACATACTTTCCTACCCTTACTTTTATAGTGCCTTGAAGTTATAATAGTTTAGAGCGGTGTATTATTTCATCCGTTTAATTTTTTTGTCTTGGATACACAGTTATTCACGTTACTTTAACATTGTAAATTCACTACATATTTTTTCATTTGCACAAAGTTAATTATTAAAAAGTAACTCTCATTTTTTCTAGTCTTTTATGGTGCATATATATGTATTTTAACACAAGATAATTTTGGAAAGAAAAAAATTAAATATAGCTCAGGCTGTAGAAATATCACTGTTTTCATATCACTGTTTATCACTGTTACATATACTTAGAAATATCACTGTTTTGGGGAAATCCTCTAAAAGTAATAATTTTATATATAAAAATGCTAGCGAAAGCCTAAAAATGGCTAGTGCCCGCCATAAAATATAATATATATTTCAAAATGCCAAAAAGAAAGTATCTGTTTTATAAAGTATTTATTTAACATGAATCGAAGAGATATATTTCAATCAGCTTTACGATGCTCAAGATTAAGTAATGACTGCCATTTTAGACAGAATCTATATTATACCCAATTACCTAACCTTAGGTTCAGAACTCTAAAATGTCATTGTTTAGAAGTGCTGAAATTACTACTAAAGATTAAAACTGAAAACTGTACAGGATTCTGACACCTTTTGGCCACATAAACTAATCTAGATCCTATTAATGAAACTGGCGACTTCTCGCACGGGAGTGAAATAATACTAGCACAGATGAAGGGTTAAAATAAACCTTTATTATTTTCAACTATGAACAGAAAAAGGCACGTACTTCTTGCTTTACAATAACACCGACAACTTGCGGTGGAAAGTAAGAATTTGTAACACAGATCAATTCAAGTGTCAAAAGAATAGAGCTAGCTTAGCATTTTTAAGTTACGGCTAGCTAGGTTGACTTGACAAATCTAACAGGCGTGATAATTATTCAAAATGGCCAAACGGCGTATCAACGTAACAGCAAGGTCAGAAACGAAACGTGTGCTATAGCACAAACACGCTCTAAATAAACTCTAAAATTCACCCGTTTAAATACTCACTTCATTTAACTTTGAATTTACATCCTGGCGAGGAAATACGAGGGAAAGTTGAGGAGTTCAGGAAAAATAACAAAAATTTGTATAATACGTTAAATAACTAAGGAAAACTCTATAACTGTTACTAAATAAAAATTGCTACTAGAAAAAGAAATTGCTGATAAAGATTATCATAAATTTAAAGCTCTATTAAGTCATGCCGCCACAACCACAATAGTAACATCGAGTTTACGAGAAAATTATGCCGCCGTAGTGAGAACATTCGAATGTAAATAACTGATATTGTTACAAAATAAGATTTCTGTTCTTTTCATATACAATCAAATTTGGATGATGCGAATTTTTGGGCAATTCAAAATTGACAGGTTTCCTTAAATTTTTTGTTTAGTGCAATAATAAAACTGTTTAATTCGAAATTTTTAAGATATTTGCCTTTTAGGTATTCAAATTTGATAGAACAACATGTTTCGAAAAATACCACTAAAAAAAAAAAAAAAACCCTCTTTTCCTGAAGTTTTCGTTTCATCTTCGCTTCCGCTTTGTCCTTTTGTTTTAATGCGTCTCGTATGAGCTTGCGTATTAATGCATCTCGTATGATAAAAATAAGGTTTGAAACAAGTTACACTCCAGCTGATCACAAATTGCTTCTTTGAAGAAGGCTATAATATAAAAACATCAATAAAAATGCCTTTGAAAGTATTCCAGATAATTTTTCAGTAGCGTCGATTCCATGATAATACAGGGGTTAATATCAGTTACGAATAATGTTTAAAAGCCTGAAAATGGAATTTCTAAAGAAGTAAAGAATAACTGTATTAATTAATTACCGGAAGAAAAATAAAAAAAATGTAATGAAATTAAAACGCAACAGAAGAGATTATACTACTAAAGGAGCTGCGAACATGTTAAATAACCGATTTGTTGAAACTAAAACGCTAAATATCACACTTTTCTTTTTGTAAGTAAACCTGAAGATTTTGAAAATTATTTAAAGAAAAAAAAAAAAAAAAAAGAAAGAAAGAAAGAAAAGAAAAAAAAAATTACAAGTTTTTAAATTAGGTGATTGCTACCCTCCCTTTACCCTTGTTTCTTCCTTGTATATGTAAATAAAAATTAAGAGAGGGCATAAAAATATGACAGCTAAGGTAAATATTATTAAAACAGTTAGTTTTTAGTAAAATGTGATAATTCGATTATTCGAATGCTTTTAGATTGCCTCTGAACTTGTATTAATCCACATTAACAGAACATATTTGACTGAAGTAATGCAGTATAATATTAAATAGCAGATGTAAGCATTTAGAAATCCAAGGAAATGTAACGTAACATCAATATCATGAATTAGAATGTATTATAATATAATGCATATGGAAAATACGTATATAAATGAGTTCTTTGCTGCAAAAGTATCCCTGATTGAATGCTTAGACTATGACAGCGAACGACTATTGGCAAATAACTAAACTTTCAAATTTTCTTGGGCATTTTGTTTGGTAAAATACACTAGTGTGCCAAACTTAAGCAGCAAATTCATTTTTTAACATACAACCATGAAATTGTTGAAAGAGGTTTTTGCTAAAATACAGTGAAAAGCCAACTCAGTGAAAAATCGATTGTAAGGATTATGTTAATTTTATTAACAGTTCGATTTTGAGTTAAACTTCTTTCCTGTCAAATTCTTAATTTCAACTTACTACTTCCTTCCAGAACGTAGTTTTAGAATCACGTCTGAATACATAATGAGGAGGAGCGCTGTTTAACCGCTAAGTTCTACTTGCTGAGTTAGAGAGAATCAGAGATTCTGATTAGCGCGCGTCCGCCTTTTTGGCTACTCTCTCTCAAAGCTGTTATTACGGTCGGCCGTACTCAGGCCCTTGATAGCTTCGCAGTCATCTCGTGTTTTAAGGGGCCAACTCCATTAAAACTTTGCTAGCTTCGGCTATATCTCTTTAGTTTAGATTAGTTTTAGTTTACTTCTTAGCCTCTTAAGTTCAAGCCCAAATGTCGGCTTTTATAGTACACTTCAAGACGGAGTTCTGTTAAATCTTATTTGAATAATAAAGGGTTATTCCAACTTGTTGTTTCTTGTCACACGAACTCAAGCGATCATTCGCTTATCAGTTCTTAAGATTCTTCACGCTCAACTGTAACGTAGCATTTACAAGTGGGGAACTCTACAATTGGCGCCGGAAAAGTTGTTAACGGACCATGTCGTTAGAGCCCGGGTAATTTACGTTGACCCCTGTGACACGGATTTACTTTCGAAGCGATTGCGGGCCTCTATGAAGCCAGCCGTAACATTTGACGGCAAGGGCTCAGTTCTGACTTTCCTGAAGCAACTGGACCTACATTTCACTTTGCATCCTGTGAAGCAGCTGCAAAAGGTGACCATTGCTTCTACAGCCTTAAAAGGTCAAGCCCTCAGCTGGTATAAGGCATTGGAAAGTTCTTGTTGGGGGACCCAGGATCGGAATCGTACAGCTGGGAAAATCCCAAGTCGGCATTACTGAAAGCATTTCCAGTTGTTAAGGATCTTGCGAAGCTATCAAGGGCCTGAGTACGGCCGAGCTTAATAACAGCTTTGAGAGAGAGTAGCCAAAAAGGCGGACGCGCGCTAATCAGAATCTCTGATTCTCTCTAACTCAGCAAGTTGAACTTCGAGGTTGAACACCGCTCCTCCTCATTATGACAGGAAAGAAGTTTAACTGTAATTAAAATTAACATAATCCTTACCCGATGCATATCCAAATATCAGCACCATGACGTCAGGGGGTAAGTCAGGGCACTCAAAACCCGAGAAGTCAGCTCGCGTAGTACAAGGCAACTTAAAAAGAAGAAAGAAAGGCGAATTTACAGGCATTCTTTCTTCAGGTAAAAGTCACACTGTACGTGCCGCAATGGGTAGAAGAAAACATCATGACGCTTTTACACGTGATAGAATGATTGGCAAACATAAGGAGAGACATAGTTTGGCGTCTGTCGCCCAAGAGTTTGGAAATGATAAAAGTGTTATTTCACGAGCTTGGGAAATCTTCCAAACGACAGGTGCAGCTGTAAGAAAAGGTTAGTGGTGGTTGGCTAAGGAAAACTACGATGAATGATGACTGATATACCTTATTCATTTTATTAATTCATATTGAATCATTGTTAGTAATGATGCATATGTAATATCTGTATTGTACCTGTGATGTGACTAGATTTTTCCAAATGGAAAAGACAAATTTAGTGAATGGAGGAAGAGGGATGGCGAAAAACCTTTGAATAATAATATTAATTATGTAATTACAAATATGTTCATTTGGGACTGGACATTTGGGACATCGGGTTCCCAAGAAACCGCCCTTGAAAAACGAACTTAGTCTTCCGTGTAGGCTGTCGCCTTGAAGAATATGATCAGCGTTGATGCTCAATATCGATGCTTATTCAGTTCCTTCTAGAGGTGGTCATCTACGAAAGGTGGACGTTGTGAAATGCTTCGCTGCATTTACTACTGAATTATGCGCTGTGTTGATGCATTTTCCCCAGTAATCAGAGTTGAGTCATCAATGTAATAGATTTGATTTCTGTCAATCTCTCTCTTTCTCTCTCTCCATTTACTTCAGTTTCAGTTTTATATCTGTATAATAATTTAATTTTACAGTTTTATCCATCTTTTTAATACAATAATGTTTCAAAATAATTTTTGCTAAAGTTAGTTTCTGATTGCAGGATTTTGCATTCTATAGATTCCTAGAAAAGGTCAACTTAAAATTATGTAGGTGATATAATTACTCCATCCATTTTTCTCAAGTATTTTTCATACTGCACGAAATGAAGCTAAGAAAATTCATTTACAATATCCAAAAGTATTAGCAGAATTCGAGACATATCTTGAAGAGATGCATTGCTCATATCAGGGAGTAAATTTTCGATCAAGTGTAATTTAATTTGCTCAAATAATTCCTGTTAGATTAAAATGTCAGATCACTTTAATCTGCAGAAATTATTGAAGGGAACAGGTTTTAAAATTTGAAGTTTATTTAGGTACCTTTCCGCTGTATTTATTGCAAAAGTTTGTATTTCTCTTTTGCAGAGATTAAAAAAGGAAACAAAACAAGCTTGCACTTCTACAAACACAGAGTATTTGGGTACAGACGATGCCTTAAATCATAAGGATCTAAAGAAAAAGACGCAAAAGAGAGTGGATAATAAAACTTTCATAAAGAAACTTTCTATTTGGAATCAAATATACACTGCTTCCTGGTATTCCTTAAACTGTTCAGAGCCAGGAATAATTAAAAGATATAAAATCACTACTCCTGAGAAACGCAGATTATTAATAGAAGACTTTTCCGAATGTGATGAAATTTCTTTATTTGACATCAAGGAGTCTAAATGGCATAATTCAGTATTAGAGAGAACCTTAAGTCCATATTTTTCACAAGCATGTTTTAAGAGAACACCTCATCCTTTATCAATGGTAGACAGGATATATTATCATAATCTTGATGACATAATGCAATTGTATAAAAAACTAGAAATGCCTAACTGTTTCGTCAAAGATCATGACCAAAGTACAGATGGTAGTAATAGTTTAGCAAGCCTTTACTTTCTATTTCCAAAACCACATTTAATTTCATGCAGCCAGAACTATTTCTTGACACCAGAAAACATCTACCAAATTTCTTCTCTGCATGAGAATTTGCGGTTTTGTAAAACAAACGAACAAATTAATTACAATTCCTCGAAATGGCTTCAAGTTATGTTGTGGTGGATGTCTACCAACCGTAAATTACAAACATCTTTTGATGAGCTTTATAGAGATTTAAAAAACGCACAAAATACAAGTTCAAATGAAGTAATTTTGAAAATGGCACAATCGGCAGAAAATTTAGAAAAGTTATTAATACGTTTAGGCTTAAATCGAGGATCAGCGCAACTTCTTGCTCTGGAACAATATATACAGCCTTCTAGATCACAGTTATTTAGATGTTCTTGGAATTTAAATCAAAGAAATGATTTACTAACTTACCAGACATGTTTTGATTATAACGTGTCTCAAGATAGTATCTGGATAGCATTTCTAACAGGATCCAGTTACTATTGTTTACACCTTGTGTTTACCACCATGGAATTATTTCTGTCAAAAATAAGAGAAACAGATGTATTTGATAACATAGATTTGATTTTAAAATCATGTATCGATGAATTCTATTATGATGTAATTCGATCACTCCAAAATAAAGCCAGTTACAGAGACTGCGTACCAATATTAGTTCAGAAGACTCGGGAGAAACTCAAGCCATTTTTAACAAAAATGCAGTACATAAGACTGAACGAGCAAGCTGTGACTGATGTCAGCTTAGCTTTTGCATTAGTAACCGAAATGCTACATAAAGTAATTAAAATAATTATTAAAAATCATGAAGCATATATATCTTTCAATGCTTCGAATGATGCCTATTCTGTAGATCTGACATCGACAATTACATTTGACATCATTAAAAATGGTATTCTACTAGTTTACAAATCTTTTGAGAAAGATTTCGTCACCGAGAATTTACTGCTCAGTATTACCAAAGAAAAAACAAGATTTTCAGTTACAAACTTGTTTTTAATAAACTGTGCTCAAATGGCATGTAGCATAATTTCTGCATATAAAATTATGCATGAGGAGAAAGGTGTACCCAAAAGTTTCATTTATTTACCTGAAGACTACCTTAAACAAGATTTCTTGATGCTTATAAATGAACTTAGGGAAGAATCTGGACATATGATATTAGAAACTGTAATATCACAGGAAAGTGCATCCAGGTTAAGAGTCTTCCAAGGTACTTTGTTGAAAGAACTCGAAAAGACGTTAGAAGATGTTAACTTGTTAACGGATGACTCGAATGAACTTTTAAGCAAAGCGAGACAGCAGAGGTACTATTTTTACAATAAACGCTTTTGTTTCTAACATATTTGTATATTATAACATTGCCAAATGATAACTTTTAATCAATTTTTATATATTTCATAAAAAGATAATTAAAATACACTTCAGAAATACTTTTGTCTTTTCTTGAATATTATGTACTCAAATTTGAGCATCTGCGTTATAGTTATACATGTTTCCTTTTTCGTAAAACATTTAAAAGAGTATACAGCATTTAGTGGGAAATAGAATATTCCTACATAAAAGGAATTTCATATAAAAAATTAAATACTGTAACAGATTAAGAATAACAAAATGCGTGATAAAAGTATAACAGCAACATTTATAGCAATTACTATTGTCTTCAAAATTCAGATGCAATTTTCTGCGCCAGTCTTATTTGTAAATAAACAATATTTCTGTATGTTACGTATTTGTAAAGGTCGTCTAAACATTTATGGCAGAGAAAAAGGAAATCTTTATTATACTCCTAAGTAATAAGAATTTTTACAAATGAATAGTGCCGGCGGAAGTGGGCCAGCATTGCAAGCGGGAGCGCAGGTTAAAAAGAGGCACTGATTGACAGTTTGTAATCATCTCAATTTTATTAATAATTATGGATCTATAAAGAAAGCATGATTAGCTGATAAGCACACTTCCCATGTGGATCAGCTGCTTCATTAAAGAGAATATGAAAAAAAAAAAATTAAAGAAATAATTAAAAAATTAAAATAGAAAAGATGCTCTTATTCAAAGTATGCTTAACATAAATATTTTCGCTATGGATTTAAGCTCTTACCGCGCACTAAACGTAATAAAAATCGAAAGTATTTATTCAATTGCAATACTTATTAAGGAAATAAAGAGACAGGACCAAAATGTCGCCAGGCGACCTTTCAAAAATTAGTCGCCAAAACTGCTGCCAGCTTCGCGATACCTCGCCAAATTAGCGACATAGCCATTTACTAAACGTTAGACATACACATGTATTCTCAATTTTCCGGCCAGCTTCGCTGCTTTAGATTTTCATTTTAATTATACAAAAGAAATACAACAATTTTACATACAATTTCACTGATATTATCCATTATTTGTACAAAATTCAAAACAGTGCCCCCTTCCCAAGGACTGCACGTCCCTTGCAGTACAACCCCCGGATACTTACAACGAAGGTAAATTAATGCAATACTTAAACAATAATTGCAATAAATAACATAAAACTAATCAAATGCTAAACCAACAAATAAATGCATTAAATAAAAAAAATTATGTACAAATATTTCCACAGCCTTACTATACTATTTACATTATATACACTATGGGGTCTATGTACTATGGCCATAGTAAGGAGCTAACCTATCGCAATGAACGGCTTTGAGCTTAGAAATTCGATGATTTACGGATCCGAACTACGACGTCGTTTAGCTTGTTTAGGACTGTGTAAAGACCATCCCAAGGTGACAATACTTTAAAACTGAGCCCTTTCCTTCAAATCTGGTTAAATAACCACGATTTTTCACCTTCGTTGAATGGATGTCCTGCAGTTCTATTGTCGTATAGGGTCTTCATTTTCTTCGTCACCAACATGACTCGGTGTCGTGCAGAACTGTGCATCACTTCAAACCGTGCCTGGAAATGAAATCTTAGATGTATTCCTCAGGCGATGTAGGAGCATTCAGAAGGCGATCAAACAGCAGATAACAAGGCAGACGAAGGTTATGATCGAAGATAATCTGGGGTGGGGAATGGCCGGTAGTCTCGTGAACAGCACTGGGGTAGGCCAGTTATACAGAAATAACTTCTTGTCCCAGACCTGTTTGTTTCTCGAAAACACTAGCGAGAGGTTATTAAGGATGGTTCGATTAAACCTCTCTGCCATGTCGTCTAACTGACTAACACATCAGGCACTTAGTGAAGTAATCAGAGACAACGACGTTGTCGGTGTTACCATCAGCAGTTCGTGGCAGAGGTCCCAGGATGTCAAAGGCGATACGCTCAAAAGGCGCTCCTACATTGTAACGTTGCAATGGAGGAGAAACCCAACCCTCGGTAGAGAACCCGAAGTCCTTTCCGACCGTTACAGGTATCGAAAAATTGTAACCACTTTTGCACGTCATCCCTTGCATTACTCCACTAAAAGCGCTCTGTAATTCTATGCAACGTCTTCATTATTCCAAAGTGGCCTCCTGTTGCTATGTAATTCCTTAAGGACGTCCGGGATCTGGGATCTTGGAAGTATCAGCTGCCATCGGAATGCATTTCCATCATCCGATTCGAATTTTCGGTAGGAAACTCCTTTTCGAATATGCAGTGAATCCCAGAGCTCAATATTGTTTTGTTGTAGGATTGTAGATCGAAATGTCCTGCCACGTAGGCTTCTTGTTTCGAGACTCCCTTAAGTCAATTATGGGTTTAGTGTCGCTGTCTTCCAACTGGTTCTTCTTAACATCTTCATCACTCCATAGGTCTGGGTCAGACGACGTTGAATTCGTAACTTGACGAACGACCGGATGAATCACGTCGTATTTGCTTCGACCCGGGAAAAATATCGGCAGCTTTCTCAACAGGGTCTTCTGGAGAGGTCATCGGCGATTCTTTGCGACGATCCTTTCTAAAGACAAATAGTTATGTTATATTCCTGGAGTCTCTGAATCCATTTGGCTATTTAGCCTTCAGGATTCTTGAAATTTAATATCCAGGCGAATAATGCATGATCTATTTGAATGGAAAAGGAATTTTCTCCCATAGAGGTAATAGTGGAAATGTTCTACGGCTTTAACTATGGCAAGCAACTCTTTCCTGGCGATACAGTAATTTCTCTCTGGTTTATATAGACACTTGCTACACTATGCTACGTCACGTACTTGAGCGTTTACTTCTTTCCACAAGACAGCACCAAGATTCTCATTGCTCACATCTCTGGCAAGAATAAATGGTTTATCAGCTGAGGATACATCAGGACTGGAGTAGCTGTTAAAGCCTCTTTCAGTTTGTTATGTGCATTCTCACAGTCTTTTGTCCACATGTACTTCTGCTTGTTCTGTGTCAGTGTCAGCTTGTGAAGAAGTTTTGTGATGGAAGAAAAGTCCTTCACAAATCTCCTATAGTATGTGCAAAGCCCCAGGAAGCCGGCGCATTAAATAATCCCAACGGCATCACCTTGAACTGCCAGAGGTCCTTGTCCGGAAGTAAAAGCCGTCTTTTCTCAGTCATCACGATGTAGCTCTTCCTGCCAATATCCAGTCTTTAAATCAAGTGCCGGAAACCACTGGCTTCCACAAAGAGTGTCCAGATTGTTGTCAATTCTACGAAGAGGGCAGCTGCCTTTCTTCGTAAATCTCGTTCAGCCGGCGACAGTCAATGCCAAATCTACTTGAAGCATCTTTATTTCTGACCAGGACCATGGGAGAGCCCAAGGACTTGCTAAAGCCTCGAAGATGTCGCCTAGAAGTCTCTTTACGTCCTTTAGAAGTTTTCCTACCTCTTCCTGTTTAGCAATTGGTAGACATCTTGGATTTTGCTTGTTGGATGACCCCGGTGTTAATCTTATGTTGCGACAAACTGGTCCAACCTACGTCAGAAGACGAACAGGAGAAAACATCTTGAAATTTGAAATCCTTGAATGACACGTTCGGCAGCACTCCTGTCTTCGTGACTTAGTTGTGCACTGTGCAGTAACTCCGATAATAGGGTCTTCGAAGAAAGAGAGATTATTGGCTCGTTTAATACAGGTCACTGAAGTATATGATGTAACCACTTCGCCTTTCCTGATGACTTTTGCCTTATCAGTCCCATTGGCGACTCTCACCGAGATAACCGTCCTCTACAAGTCGACAAAATCCGAGGTTATTAGTACTCACGGGATGTTACAGTTCTATAGTATTCCGTTACACCGTACCGGAAATATCTGTTTTCGGCCATAAATCCAGGAAGTAAAAATTATATTTATGCTGGTACTGTGATATCGTCTTAAGCTATGATTCAGTGGGCATATTTAACTCTTTCATCATTAATCCCGAATAGGTTTATGTCCTCAGGAGAAAAATACAGTCCTTGTTTCCAGTCCAAGGAAAAACTGTATTTTCATAGAAAGTCCAATCCGAGTATTTAAGGATCTGTAATATCTGCCACATATGCCGTGTGGTGGTAGGGGGCACTTCCAAACGGATTGTTAACGTTGTCCGCCGATGTCGATCTTCTCCCCAACACAGTCTGGAATGTAACGCAGGGCAGTGTCCAGTTGAGTTTACCATCCAATCTAGAGCCAAATCTTATCGAATGATGGTAAAATTGGGCCCTCTATCGATGGTCGTATTTCAAGGAACTCCACTGATACGTCCCACGATGAAGAGTCCATTACTACCGTCACTTACTGCAGAAATCTTAAGCGCTTTAAAATGGGGCTTCTCATCTGGAAACCTTCGCTCTGCGAGATGGCCACTAATTTGTTTCCTTTGTCCTTCCTGGAGAGCGGTCCTTTTTTCCGTGCTCTGGAATGCTCTGTAGTTCCTTCGTACGTGGCTTTAATCACCGCAGTTCCTCCACTATAGAGTCGGTTTCTTATCATCCTTATTCTGTCTCAAGGCCTTGACTTGTCTGGTTATATTGTCTAGACAAACAGTCACCTGATCCACTGGCTCCTGAACTTGAGCAGCTCTTATTGGGTGGCTGTCTCTACGAGTTGCTCGCTGGGCTGCCTCGAATTTCATTGCGTAAACTAGAGCCCTTTTAAAATACTTAACATTGCCATTCGCAGAGCTTTCTATATGTCAAGATCCCGGATGCTATCGATGAAATACTGCAAGGACAGGATTTCCTGTGTTTCTGATGGGCAACCCGAAAAGGCGAAATAAGACAGCAATTCAACATCCGTGACGAGCTCTTGGGGTGTTTCTATAGGCTCCTGTTGACGAGATTTTAACTTAAACCGCCTATTGTCTCTTAAACTCTTCTCGCCGAAGCGCCGTATAGAGCTTCGAAGTCAAGTCTCTGGTTTGCTGGAAGAGTTTGCAGAATATCCACAGCGTCTGCTCTGAAAGAAGCAGCGAGATGACAGACCTTAGCTTAGAAACCCCATCCATTCGCC